TATATATATAATATAATAAATAAAGAAATTAAAAGGATTTTGAAAATCATACTAATAATGAAGGAAAAACTCAAAATGGGGATGAAAAGTGTGATTTTAACAAAAACTTTGAAGCCAGGGGGCCGAATGTAAATTCATGATAGTTAAAGAGGTGTGTCAGGTATTAACATGTCCAAACCAGAAGGATATGTTTTGTAAATATGCCATTTTCTGATTTTTGAAAGTGATGGAACGATGACGACTTTTGAGGCTTCTTATTGGTTCGTTCAGTCAACCAATAGGAATATATAGCCAACGTTTCCCTCTACAGTTTTCGTTCAAACATTTTGAATTTTCGCTGAGAAACGAGAGAGAAATCGGAGCTCGAAAGACCCCACCTGAAATCTCCGTTTATCGACGATTAGAGGTAAAATACTCAACTAAAATTCATGTTCTTTATATGGTTAGCTTCGTTTTTTAGTCCTTTATAGAACCCTAGTAGCCTTACGTTCCAGATTTCGTGTTTTATGGTTCGATTTTGGGGTTTAAAGTTTCGTTCGGTTTAGTTTAAAATTAAAACTTTAAATAAGAAAATGGAATTCATGACGAAAAATTGTGTTATTTATGTCAAAATGTTAGTAAAAATATTACCAAGGATCTAGTACAAAAAAAATGAAGAAAAAAGATCAAAAAACGGGTCAAAATGAAGCTTAAATCGGTAAGAAACGCGCAGCCATGGGTTGCGACCGGATCGGGTCGGGACTAGATCCGACCCATAAATCTATGAATTCGACCCATTAAAAATAAATATGGATATGTGTTCAGAAGGGGTCGACCTGTGACCTCCTATTAGTAAAGGCACACCTTAACCACTCCGATAGAATATCAATTCATGAGCTATTTAAGATTTGAAATTTCTTATATTTAGTAATTAACTGACTTTCTTAATAAAATTTCTATTATAATCCCAAGATTTAAGAAACTAAGCTTAACTTCTAAAACTTTCTTAACTCTAGAAAGTTCCTTGAAATTTTTAGATGTGTAGATTTCAACTTCTTTTTTTGATTCTATAAAATTACCAAAATGCCTCTAAAATTAAAGAGTGTGTATTTTGAGCAATACGTGACCATTTTGCTTTATAAAAATACCGTCAAGGTTGAAATTACTACTTTAACTATGTAATTATTTGGGGATAATTAGAATGAATCATTTAAATAATTAGATGATTTTTTTATAAGATTAAAGCGTAGCTTTTGAGTTATATATATATATATATAGAGAGAGAGAGAGAGAGAGAGAGAGAGAGGAGCCTTTAAATAAAAACCACCCAATTGGTACAAACCGTGAAAATCACATTCAACTAATCATAATTTTTCATTTTGTTCATTTTTTTGTAATTATGAGATGTTAATTAACCATTTTTATTGTGGAAGGTGTTAATCATGGATATTAGCATCTTTATTATTTTAATTTTAGAAAAACACATGAAACAGTTTCATTAAAATTTCATTAAATATTATATGAAACAATTTCATAACCATATATGAAACAAATTCATCAAAAAAAGTATTATATGAAACAATTTCATAACCATATATGAAACAAATTCATCAAAAAAAGTATTATATGAAACAATTTCACAAGATTAAACAATTTTATGAAAAAATTTCATAAGATTAAATAATGAAATCGACGTATGAGGGTGGTTTTCACGGTTTGTACAAACGAGGATGGTTTTCATTTGATCGCGCTCTCTCTCTCTCTCTCTCTCTCTCTCTCTCTCTATATATATATATATATATATAGAGGAGTGATCATATGAAAACCGCCCTCATTTGTGTAAACCGTGCAAACCACCTTCATCTGTCGATTTCATTGTTTAATCTTATGAAATTTTTTCATGAAATTGTTTAATCTTGTGAAATTTTTTCATAT